CCCCCTCTCTGTAACACATGCTCATCCTGTTTACTCACATGTCTGCTCCATAGCAGCCACATGTATTTAGCAGCTGCATGCTGTGCAACACAACACCGGCCAGAGTGCAACTGGGAACAGACTGCACCAGCCAGATGTGAACAGACATGGACTGAACCAATAGCACAAGATGCCTGAACACTGGCCATATTTCTGGGCCTAATAAAAAAGGCTGAACTTTTTCCATGGAAGGAGGGACAGAGATGAGATATTGGGAACATGGGGCAGCCTTCTGTTTTCACCCAAATAAATATCACTGTGCCACAACCTCCTATACCTGGGTCCCTGGAATGCTTTTCTTGCAACTCTGGGAAAGAACATAAATTCCACCTGCAAGACCTTCAAGTGCTTACGTCAAAAGCTGGGCATCATTTTTGACTTTCCTTTCTTTTACACTTCACATATTCAATGCATCAAGACATCCCGTTTGTGCAACCTCAAAAGTACATCTAGAGTCCTGCCACTTCGTACCACCCCCACTGTTACCAACGTGCTCCTCCTCACTGGTTCCCTTGTTGTTACCCTTTCCTGTCCACAGCCTATTTTCAACAAAGCAGGCAGTTGTCCTCAAAAACTGTTAAGTGAGTTAAGCCACATCACACCTGCACACGAACCAATGACATTCCATTTCACTGAGATTAATGTAAAAATTCCTACATGCTCAGCCCCCTTACCCCACTGAGATCATCTCCTTCCCCACCCTGCTCATCTGCTCCAGTCCCACCAGACCAGTCCACTTAGTATGCTTAATACCCTCACTTCCTCCATGTTGCTGCACCAATATTACCTTCTTAATGAAAATACCAAGTTTACAATGGTATTTGCTCACATATCCCACACTCCTTCCCTTTCTCTTTATTTCAATAGCACCCATGGTCTTTGAGCATGCACTGAAATTCACTAAGTTCTTATTTTTATTGCTTATCATATGTCTTTGCTCACAAGAAGATAACCGTAGCAGGGAACTGAAAGTTCTGGGAGCAGTGTCTAGCATGCAGAATGTGGTCAGTAGCTTTATGCATGTGAATAAGTCAACGAGTGGGTATAATTGATTTGAAATGACTTGAGTATCACGGTAGGTATCTAAGAAGCCTTTGAAAATGGCATGCCTCAGAAGCATGGTCCCTTGTTAAAATGCCCTTTTAATTGAACAAATAATATTTGTTAATAATGTTATTAACAAATAATATTTGATAAGTATGGAGTGAACTCTAATATATAATTAATCTGAAAAGAGAAGTAGGCAAAATTAATTTAAATATTTAATTTAATATATCCAAACATTATGCCAGTAAGCAATCAATATAAAATTATTAATGAGATTTTTACTTGTTTTTGCATATTAAATCATCAAAATCTAACGTGTGTTTTACACTCACAGCACATCTCTGTTTGGACCCGCAACCTCTGAAGCACTTCACAGTTATTTAAGATTTTGAGACTATGATTGACTGTCAGTAACTGCAATGGCACAAAGGAAACCACGCATCAGGGGGTCTACTGTACTTGGTTCAGCTACTGGACAACTTTTATGTACGTTCGGAACCACTTGGGTATGTGAATCTACTCTTTCAATTGCAAAATGAAATCTAAATTTAGAGCAACTGTATCAGAAGTGAATTTAGCATTTATATTGAGATGCACTCTAAGTATAAAATTTACCCCAGATTCCTAGTACTTAATATAGAAGAATGCAAACTATTTTATTACTTTTATATTAATTATATGTTGAAATTATGCTATTTTGGATGTATTATTTTCAATAAAATATATAGTTAAAATTAACTCCACCTCTGTATTTTTACTTTGTTTATGTGTTTTCTAGAAAAAAAAATATATATTTATATATAATAGCCACACATATTATATATCAAATATATACCCACAGAGTATTCATTTTAGGTTTTCACAGAACAAAGGAAACTTCAATAAATATCAAATAATCCACATGTACGGTTGTACTCTCTGATCATAATGAAATAAAATAAGAAATTAGTAACAACAACAAAAAAGCTTTAAACATCTCCTTGGCCCCTTGAAAGATATATTTAAAATGTGCTATATAGTCACTGGGATTGAGAGAAATTTTAAAATTACAAACTATTTAAAAATAAAAGTGTCAAATGTCAACATTTGTATCTCATAGCTAAAGTAGCATTTAAAGTTTTGCATAATTTTGAATACATATAATAGTAAGCAAGACAGATTGAAAACCAAAGACCAATGAGCATAACTAAACATATAAGGAAAAAAAGAGAAAATAATAATATAATAAAGCCAAAGCAACAAGAAAGAAGGACATAAGAGCAGTAGGATGGGAAATCAATGGAACAGCCCAAATCTCTACTAAAATGAGATTATTTAAAAAAAAAATTATCTTAGAGAGATGAAGGGAGAGGGAGAGAGAGAGAGAGAGAGAGAGAGAGAGAAACATAGATCTGTTGCCTCCTATATGTGCCCTGACCAGGGATTGCACCTGCATCCTGGCTATGAGCTCTTATCAGGAATCAAACCCGCCACCTTTTGGTATACTGGATGATGCTTCAACCAACCGAAAAGATTGGCTAAAATCAATTCTTTAATAACTAGAGTCCTGGTGCACAAAATTTGTGCACGGACAAGGGGTCTCCTCAGCCCAGCCTGCACCCTCTCCAATCCGGGACCCCTTGGGGGCCATTCCTCTCACAATCCTGGACTATTGGCTCCTAATTGCTCACCTCCCTGCCAGCCTGGTCGCCCCTAACTGCCCCCCCCTTCCCGCCAGCCTGGTCGCCCCATGCAGCCTGCTGTTCAGTTGTTTGGTCCTCCTTCACTGACCCCCTTGCTGGCCTGATCATAGGCAGCCACCTTGTGAGGGTGTGAGGGTTAATTTGCATATTGCCTTTTTATATATAGGATTGGCATGATAAAGGTGGGCATGAGATTCTGTTCACTCATACACTTTAAGACTAGATTAAATGGACAATGGCACAAGAAAACTAGTAGTCCTTGACTGAAAGAATCAAAAGAAAGAAGCTGATATGAATCAAAGAAAGTACTTCCATTCCCCAAAGCATGCCTGTCAGCACAGATGGCACCATGCACACCTTATGGGATCTACATATATGCCCCACACTGCATATGAAACACACGCTGGGGTGTCTATATGAGTTTGGGAGCCAGAACACAGACAGAGGAGCAAGGTGAAATAATAATATAAAGTAAATTAAGAGGGGCCATGTGTGAACGTGATGTGCCTGAGTATTATTGTTATTTCAATTCTGTGCACTTGAGAAGATATATAACATTCCTTTCAAATAATTTTTGAGCAACCTTCACAGCCAATGCTTTTATCCTTTTTTCTTGAATGAAAAAAAAATATATGGTAATGCAATATTTGAGTGTGTCACTTCCCAATGGTTTCTCCTGTTTTGCAGTTTCCAACAGCAAAGCTCTTTAGAATTGAAATGGCTTTTAATTCCCCGGGATATATTCTCAGTGCCTAGATGTTTACTAAATCAGTAGTGCTTAGCTGCTACTGATTGATTCTACATGATAATACCTGATGCTAGCCTAGATGTGTATGTGAGCGTGTGTGTGTGTGTGTGTGTGTGTGTGTGTGTGTGTGAGAGAGAGAGAGAGAGAGAGAGAGAGAGAGAGGTGTGTTAAGGAGGGATACATTTACTTGGCTTCTTTGCTTCTGTAGATGCAATAAAAAACTAATTTTAGGGTTTATCTGCTGGGCACAGCATCTTAATTTCATAGCTGGAAATGATTTAATTTAGGCATTGGAGGCTGGGGTGAGCCATGCGCTGCCTATAAAAGAGGATAGAGGCACCTGAATGGTCTGAAATAACCGATTGATCAAGACATCGCTTTTCCCTGACATATCCAGGTAATGGCCATACCTCCTTTTGCATTGGGCCTGTAGGCCCCCTCCACATCAGCTCTATGCCCTCTCCCTTTGTCTGCAAACAGAGGAGAGGGGCAGCAGGTTGGAGTCCCAGACTCGGTTGGCCTCCAGGTATGTTTCCATTGGTCGCAAGGGCCAGGCGGAGCTTGATTTGCTTCGGTACATAAAGACAAGAAGCTAAGGGCCCCTTCCGAAAGCAAACACCTTTAATTTGCACCACCACCTCGCTGTGATTCAGCGGATGGAATTTATGAGGGTGTTAACCCTTTTCCACAAAAGTAGCAAATGAGTCAGTCCTAATAGGAAATAGAAATCCACAGCAGACTCTCTTTGAAGCCCACGGGAAACTTCACTGAGCGGGCTGCCACGCCTCCAGAGTGTCCCCCAGAAGTAAGAGTACAGAGTGGCCCAGATCTTTTACGGAGAAGCAACTCTACCAGCAAAACAAGTCTTTGCATGTGCCCAGTCCTGCTGACCCCTCTCAGCAGCGGGAATTCAGACAAAACTTCAGGAATGCTTTGTGGGGCAGCTATGGTGCATTCAAAGCAGAAAAAACGGCCTTAATCTTTGCAAAACCAGCAAAGATAAGCAATAGCTTTAGCTGGGTTGAAATTAGCCAACGCGCTGCTACACAATGTCCTTGGGCTTATTATCCAGGCTCTGACCGCCGAATGGCACTGCTCAAGTATGCTGGCAATGTTTAACAAACCATCTGTCTTCTACCTGTTCCCGCTAACAGGAGCCTTTGTCTGAGCGGGGGCCCCATCCAGCATGTCTGCTGTCTGCTCAGCAGCCAGGGAAATCTCCTCGCCGCGTTGTATTCATTTCACAGGTCTCTCGAGGATGGTTTGTCCTCCACCGAGCGGCTCTGCTGGAACCTCAGTTTTGAAAAGGGGCATGTGGATCTGTCTCAGTCTATCTATTACTTTAGACACCACCATGGGTGTCAAAGCCTTCCTTGCTTATTCGATTTCCCCCCTGATTTTTCTTCTTTGAAGAGGAATTCCAACATTCTTTCAAAAGTAACTCTTTTATCTTGGTTATTTGTTCTTACATTGGAACCCCCTCACTCTCTCATATATATATTTTTTATTCCTCAGTAAAATATTTCTGCTTAAATATCACACTTTCAAGGAGTTAAACGATTGGTACATAAGTATTAGGCTAAATCATTTGAACTTAATGCTTTCATGGGTCTAAACCAGTCAGATATTGGCATTTTCACATGGCTCAACATATGTTCAAGTATATATATTTCCTTGTAAAATTGCTCATTTTGTTTTACAGCACAGGAGTGAGAAGTTAACTAATCCAAATCATGGTTTTCATTTTGTAAAAAAAATATTGATAAAGCAAAATTTTCTTTTCAGAATTTATTTCTCCTGCTCTGCCTCCCCCTGCTCAGAAGTAAAATGTTCCCATCTTCTTTTTCCAGGTGTCACAATATTCATATAATTATGACCACCAGGCACACCTTCACATTGGCAATGGAGGGAATCCCCTTAGATGTCAGAGCCATCCTTGAAACTCACCCATCAGGCCCAGACACCAGCAGATGGGAGACCGAGGCCTGAACGACAGTCACACCCAGCTGCCCTACCCCTGGCTCTCACTTGGACTCTCCAGACAAGAGAGTCTTAGCTATCAAAGGGACTACATTTGATGAGACAAACATTGGGTTAGATGCATGGGGGACTCAAAATGCAAAAGTATAAAGTTGAGAACAGCTCTTTGCTTATAGTTCTTTGAATACAGGTTTACAGTTGTGAGTACATAAAATACAGAGTTAATAAAGCTATTGTAACAACCTATTGCATGTCTTTTTCCATACTAACAACCCTAAAATCCCTTTTGCTTGCCCCTGTGCATGTCTGCTTCTGCATCCTACCACAGGAGCTTTGGTTACCTTTACTTCATTATTATCATTCTCACAGGTACAACCTCAGCACAGTTTTGTCTTTAGAGCAGATATACCTCATAAAGGCATTCAGATACCTATGCTGCCTTTCCAGAAGAAAATTGGAAAACGAGACAGTCACCATTAACACAGTAGCACACAAATTTTCTCCTTAAACTTAAAATTTCAGTGAAGCCAGGAAGAAAAGCAGAGATAGAGGGTGGGGAAATCTCTTAAGATTTTAACTCTCAGAGTTTCTAGGCAAAGGGAAACCAATGTGGGAGTGTTCTGCTTGATTGGTGGCCTCATTGGAGACTGGAGGAAAGAGAGATTTCTTCATATTTTTATTTTTTTAAAATATATTTTATTGATTTTTTACATAGAGGAAGGGAGAGGGATAGAGAGTCAGAAACATCGATGAGAGAGAAACATTGGCCAGCTGCCTCCTGCAAACCCCCTACTGGAGATGTGCCCTCAACCAAGGTACATGCCCTTGACTGGAATCGAACCTGAGACCCTTCAGTCCTCAGGCCGACGCTCTATCCACTGAGCCAAACCAGTTAGGGCTTCTTCATATTTTTAATCTCCTCTTTCAATTTCCGTATACATAATATGTTTTATAAGGTAACCTAATATTAAGTTCATGTTGTATTAATACATTTTATTTTTTTTTAATTTTTATTATTTGATTGATTTTAGAAAGAGAAGAAGGGAGGGAAGTAGAGAGAGAGAGAAACATCTATTTTTTTGTTCCACTTACTTATGCCTTTATTTGTTGAATCTTGAATGTGCCCTGACCAAGGTCAAACTGCACCTTGGCATACTGGACAATGCTTTAACCAACTGAGCTACCTGGCCAGGATATATTAATATGTTTACTTACAATATATGCTGTTTATTAAACAATCATATAGCTTTTATAATATATAAACATGAATACAACTAGAGGCCTGATGCATGAAGATTTGTGCAAGAATGGGCCTTCCTTCCCCTGGCTGCCGGCACTGCCTTCGCTCTGGCTGGAGCTGCCTTTCTGCCTTTGCTCTGGCCCAGAGCCGACTTTTTGCCTTGCTCAGGCCCAGAGCCGCCTTTCTGCCTTCCCATGCTGGCCAGAGGCCTGGAGCAGCTGGGGCAGTGCAGAATGCCTACGTCATCACCATGGTGATGACACAAGCATCCTGCCCCACCCCGGCCTCTTGGGCGACTGTCTATGCAAATTAACCTGCCATCTTTGTTGGGTTAATTTGCATACTCACTCCTGATTGGCTGGTGGGTGGTGCAAAGGTATGGTCAATTTGCATTTTCTCTTTTATTAGTGTAGATTATAGATAAATAATTATAGGTAATTTATTCACAAATATTTTCATTCATCTGACATCTGGACTGCTTCTACCTCTTGGCTATGGTGAACAATACTGCTATGGACATGGGTGTACATGTGTTTGTTTGAATCCCTGTTTTCTGTTCTTTTGGAGTGGAATTGCTGTGTAGTATAGTAATTCTATGGTAAATTTTTGAGGGACCACCAAACTGCTTCCATAGGAGCCACACCCTTCTTCTTGCCCACTAGCATGTACAAGTTCCAATTTCTTAGCTCTATCTCAACATTTATATTCCTTTTTCTAAATAAACATATGGCCTGCCCAGTGGGTATGAAGTGGTATCTCATTGTGCTTTTGATTTGCACATTCCAGGAGTCGTTCTTTGTTTATAGTACCTTTGGAATGAACATCAAGGACAAGGGTATGCATGCACTCTCTGCTAGTTGTCAGGCACAATCTGTGGGGCCCTCCACAGATGCTCCTGACATCTCTTGAAAGCTACCATATGCTGCAAGTTCTGATACCTCAATGGGGTCCTTCTTCCTAAAGGATCATTGCCACAAGGGGCAGTAGGGATAGGAGGGGCAGGTGTGTATCTGATAGTAAGGAGAATAAAAAAGAGGTCTTAACTACAGGCAGAGGGAGTGAGGCCTTGAGTCCAGAGACTGGGGGTGGCCAGGCTTTAGGAAGTCAGGGGAAAGAGCATATTTCCAGGTAGATGATCAGATAGTGTGCCAGATTCCTGAAGTCTTAACTGAACCGCAGAGGCCCAGAATGTGTTCTGAGTCCCTAGGTCAGGGGGACATCCTGATGCAAGAGCAGGCAGGAAGTCACAGAACACAGCAAGATCTTGGATATGGGAAGAGCAGATGGGAAGTGTAGGGGCAAGACAGGGATCTTGGGGTCCAAAATACATGGGCAGATTTACAAAAAAATAAATTCCAGAGTAATCCTTGCCTGTGAGCCTGCAACCATCCCTCCGCTGCCTTGAGTTTGATGACGGTTCTCATCTTGGTTGCATATTAGAATCACCTGAGGAGCTTTAAAGACTCCCAATGGCCAGGCCAATGAAATCAGGCTCACTTGGGTGTAAGACCCAGCGTCAGTATCTTAATGTTCTCCTGGTGATTCCAAAGGACAGCCAAGGATAAGGCAAGTAGATTTTTAAGTTTAAAATCATATATTTAAAAATTAGACTTTATTAGATTGTTTTTTTAAATTATAAAACAAGCAAAGGCATAATATAGAAGTTTGAATGAAATAAAGATGTTGACAGAAGAGGTCACCTGCAGCCTCCTGGCCTTCTGGCTGCTGTAGATGATGCAGCCTGGGCCCAATTTGGGGCTTCGTTCTTGAAACGTTGCATGAGGGCTGGCAGCCAGAGCAGCGCTGTGCTGTGGGGGACACACAGGATGTGATGCATTTTCTGGGTTCCCAGAGCAGTGGCAGACCCGGTGAAGGCTGCACTCAATAAATGTGTGTAGGATGACTGAATGGAAGCAGGAAGGCATGAATTCATGAAAAGCAGTTCGAGACACGGTCCCTGCCCTCTAGGAACTTACAAAAGGGCAGCTGAATAGGCATTACAATGACAATAATTGGATGGCAATAATAGTCACTGCATCAGTGACTCTGTGTGTCTGTGCACGCAGCCCTGCAGCCAGGGAAACCAGGGGAGAGTTTTTGAAAACTCTGTTTGGTAGCTATGGCTTCTCTTATCTTTATTAATGTCCTGCAAGGCACTGACACACTGCCCTGTCTTGATAAAACAGGTAAACAGGAGCAGAGCAAAACCCAATAAAGCAGATTGCCAGTGGCACCCAGGGCCCACCTGGGTGGTCACACAGAGGTCAGTGAGGGAGGAGGAAACTCAGCCTCTCTGATGGGAGTTATTCTGTTGATTGTTTGCTTCTTTTCTTGTTTGCTAAAAGTTTCCTAAGTTCTCCAGCCTGCAGATAAATTCAGTTGATAAGCCAAGAGCTCCTTGCCAATTACAGCTTCCTCCTCTGAAACAGTAGGGGTGATGCAAAGAACACTTCTAGGCCATGAGGGAGCTGGAGGCTTGTCTTGTTGTCAAGGATCTCTATGACCTTAAAAATAACCATAACTTTCCTCACTGCAAAGCAGGCAGCAGTTTCTGTTCTGCTTTCCTTGGCTGGTGGTTGTACAAATTCAGCGAGATAGAATTACTGATCCAAAAGGCACCTTTTACTCCTTAGGTGTTTTTAGACCCTGTTAATTATAGGACTAAGGGTCCCCCAGGTCCCTCAGGCACAGAGTAGACCACAGGCTGGGTGTAGTGACTCTCTGGGCTGCAGTCATGACCACTGCTGCCTCTTATATGCTGGGGGATGTAGGCAGCCACCAGTCGCCAGTAAGTAATAGATTTCTACAAGAATACCAAAGGGCCATTTACACATGCAACTTTATTAGCCACTGCTGCTCTTTTAGTTTTTTCTCTTTTCCATCTATTACTCCCAGCTACTCTTCTTTTCTGTCCAGAGAGGAAAATGGCCTTTTCCCTCATGGCTCATTCCCCTTTTTAAAATTTGTTTGTTTTGTTTTTAAAACCCAGATTAAAATGTGTTTGGGTGGTTTTAAATGGCTGGCAAGTTGGTGATGAAACTGAGGTGAAGACCTTGAACCCTGACTGCCAGACTAGGTCCCTTCCATGGAAAAGTATTGCTGAATTGTTTACTCTGAGCCTGCGGAGTGGCTGTCACCCAGTGCTGTAAGATCTGGTGTTGGGCTGGCAGGGGCTGGATTGCAACTAGCTTGTCTCTATGCCAAAATTTTAAATTTTATACCATTTTAAGATTTTATTTATTTTTCTATGTACTTTTATTTCAAAATTGAATTAGAAATCCTGACATGTTTCTGAACTTCTTGAGAGGAGAGAAGTAGTCGATTAAAATAGAAATCTTATTGGACCTAGAGAGAGAAGATATTATACTTATCTTAGCTCTGCTGATAAATTGGGCCATGACTTACTAATTTCTCTCTTTGGGCCTCATTTTTCTTATCTGTAGAATGGGAAGTTTGGACTGTTTCTGAGTACTTAAACTAAATAATAATAATAATAATAATAATAATAATAATAATAATGCTCCTGGAGATATCCAACATGGCAAAGAAGGTGGAGTTGCATTCACCTTCAATGATCACATAAAAATTACAAATAATTTGTAGAAAAATTAACCGAGATGATCATCTGAAGACTAATTGAATAGAAGTCTTACAACTACAGATATGCAGAAGAAGCCATATCAAGACTGGTAGGAAGGGCAGAGATGCAAAATAGTCTGGCTTTGCTCCCACATTGAGAATCAGAAGGAATATCTCAGTTATCTTCTGGTACCCTATGATATGAATGTTTTGGAAGCAATTTGGAACAATGTCTTCTTCTGTATATCTGTAGCTATAAAACTTCTATTCAGTTAGTCTTCAGATGATCATCAAAACTGGGCTTAGGGCATGTTAGCAAAATGCCAAACTGCCCTGAGACCCATCATTGCCTGTCATCTGCCCATTATGCTCAACTATTGAAAGAGCCTCACACAGTACACAAATTGCACTCTCACACCACCCATGT